CACAAGAGTGCACACAAACGTACAACACATAAGACAATAGTAAAGGCCTTGTAGCTTTACCTAGGTGAAATCTCCATTGCAATGTTTAAAAACTCCACAGTCAAAAAATAAAACTGATCAGAAAAACATTAACCTAGGTTTGTATGAGCTCAAAAAATAAAATAGAACTTTATGATGTGGGAAAACGCAATAATAAAATAGATATTGAAAAAAGCATCCTGGTTAATCACTGTCGCAGATGTAAGAATAGCCAAGCTGGAGCTCTGGATATCAGCTGTTATGGATTTGAGTCAAATCATCTTCTTTTTGGTCTGTAGAAATTGCTTTGGTTAGTCTCTCTGGAATCCAAATTGGCTGCTGTTCTCCCTGTGGAAACACACAAACAGAGCTCCGACTCCAGACAATCACTGGGTCAGGACCTTTCCATTGTCCTGTTAGAATATCCTTCCAAAGTACCTTAGGCTTATGTACATTTTTTGGATACATATGTCTTTCCGCAGCACTAAGCCCTGATGAATCCAAATTTAAAAAGTTTAGAGTAAAAAGGGTTATTTTAATTTTATCTCTGGGGGATATATACCCCTTTCCAATTCCCTCTTTTTGCTTTAATAAGTATATTTTAATAGTTTGATGAGCTCTTTCAACTATGCCTTGTCCCTGTGGATTGTATGGGGTTCCTGTTATATGAGTAATGCCAAATGATGAGCAAAATTGTTTAAAAGAGGTAGAAGTATAACCAGGACCATTATCTGTTTTTAACTGTTTAGGAACGCCCACAGTGGCAAAATTTTGTAAGCAATGAGCTATAACATCTTTAGTTTTTTCTCCGGCATAAAGGGAGCCCATCAAAAATCCAGAAGAAGTATCAACTGTAACATGTAAATATTTTAATTTTCCAAATTGTGGCAAGTGTGTGACGTCCATCTGCCAAATATGGTTAGGTATCAGTCCTCTAGGATTGACTCCAAGATTAACTTGTGGTAAAAATGTCACACAATTTTGACATTGTTTTATTATATGTCTGGCTTTTTCCTTAGTTATTTTAAAACGCTTTTGTAAAGTATTAGCATTAACATGGAATCTTTTATGAAAATTTGTAGCTTATTCTAGTGTAGAGAAAATATGTATGTCATGTGTAGTTTTATCTGCTAAATCATTGCCCAAACTAAGGGCTCCAGGCAATCCTGTATGTGCCCTGATATGTCATATAAAGAATGGATCTTTTCTGTCCCAGATTAGACTTTGTATAGTGGAAAACAAAGAGAAAACAGTAGAGGAAGGGGAAATCCTACCAGCATCTTCAAGGGATACTATAGCATTAACTACATACTGACTATCAGAAAATAAATTAAATACAGAATCTTTAAACATCACAAAAGCTTGTAATACTGCATTAAGCTCTACCTTTTGAGCTGATTGTTTGGGTACTAAAAATGTAAAAGTTTGATCATGGGTAACTACTGGTGATGTGTCTGCTTCCTCCTGTGATGACTGTGAGCCAGTGTTGAGGTTCCCACCTGGGACTGCCGCAGTGTCCCTTTCTCCATAAGCTGCTATCAGCTTTTGCTTCCTGTTTGCAGCCCTGTCTGTAGGTGCGGAGGTGTCTGGCCCGTCACCCTGAGCCAACCTTGGTCCTCACGCATAGCCTTGGGCACCCTGTGACATTGACTGACTTATGCTAACATAACCTTTACAGCTTTCTTTTGATATGGTGTTTGCATGGTTTTCCATCTTTACTTTTAATCTATTTGTGCCTTTACACAAATTGATTTAAACATTGCCTAATGGCCGAGATGTATTTCAGTTGACTCTGTCTCACGGTCTGAGTGTTATAGAATGTACTTCCACACACTGAGACGGCTGTGACATCACTAAGCAGAAAATCCTTTGGGATCTCCTTCATGTCCTGTGGTACAGGCCAATATGGAAAATGGATTCCTGCAGTAGCACACAGCTGAGAGTGTCGTGCTCCAGATACAGGCCCTGCACTGAGAGTGTCGTGCTCCAGATACAGGCCCTGCACTGTGAAGTGCGACTCGACTCTGCAGGCCGTTTTCAGCCCGGCCTCCCACAGTGCTCAGGGAAGGCCTTGCTTCTTCATCCAGTCTGACAGTCTTTGCCCTCTAGCTGGTTGCCGGACAGTTGGACGTTGTTGTATTTATGGTTGAACTTAGTTGTCCCTAATTTTGTGACTCAGAAGCTTTGGTTCTTCCTTCATCCTCTTCGTCACCTTTTTAAGTGGTGAAATTCTACATTTACAGAACTTTTCATTTACAGAATGTAACTTGCCTTTTTTTGAACTGTGGTGGTGTTTTTATTAGTCATTAGTGATTTTCATAGTGTGCTGGTACAGCCCTGTTTTTCTCCTCAGTCCTGTGTCCTTAGTGTGCAGTCTTGCTGAGTGGGAGGTTCTTCCAGAATGCATGTGTTACATTGTAGCAGAAGCTCCTGGTTCTGTGTGATCTGCAGATGGGACAAGAGAAAGGTCCCTCTCAGTGTGGCCATCTGAAGAAAGCCAGGCGTGGCTGGGAGCTGCGGGCCTGCTGGGGCCAGGGGCCCGAGGGGCGGTTAGCCAGGGCGAGGGGAGCCAAGCAGGGTCGGGTGAGCTGCCCTCCGTCCCGAAGAGCTGTTCTTTGAAGATACTCAGTCCCAACTGTCCGAAAGGTGGCCCAGAAGGTGGAGCAGAGGGAAATATCCTGGAATGTCCAAGAATGTGTCTCTGAAAGCGACTTAAAAATCTAAATCAAGGGGGCTGGGGTTGTGGCTCAGTGGTAGAGCGCTCACTTCGCATGTGAGAGACTCTGGGTTCGATCCACAGCACCACATAAAAATAAATAAACAAAATAAAGATATTGTGTCCATGTATAACTGAAAAAATATCTAAAAAAAAATCTAAATCAGGAAAACATTTTCAGAAGCCCACCAGAAGACATGGTTGTAGAGATAGGAGCTGGGGGTTAGGAGGAGGGACAGGCTGAGTGGGAGAGAGGATGATTACCAAGGAAGTGGTGGAGAATGAAGCTGAGGCTTAATTAAACTCCATATCAGAAGCCATCAAGACTTCAGCTGAGGTGGTGGGGAAGAGCCACGTCACGATGGGAACATACTGGAGAGGCTGCCCGGGAACGCAGAGTAGACGGCAGATGTGGCCGTGGTGAGAGCCCGGTCCCATGGGAGGTCCAGCCCACAGCGTCGGAATCCCCGAATGAGCCAGAACAAGTTTAATAAAATAATAATTAAAGATATAATTGAAGAGCAGTTTCCTGAGCAGGAAGAGGTCCATATGCATTGAAAGGGCATGCTTTGAGCAAAATTAATGAGACTCTTATCCATGCATCTTCCGAGTTTCAAGACTAAAGACATGCTAGCAAAATCCAGGCAGAAGAGTGACGACATCATCAAAACTTGGTTCCCTAAAGTTTGCCGTGGTGGTTACCACAGTCAGGCCACCTAAGAATTCTCTAAGACTCCAGGCATGGGGATTGACGTCTGCAGGACTTGAGGGGGACATGTTGGTGATCTTAGACTTTTATACCCAGCCAAGATGTATGTGTGTATGTGTGTGTGTGTGTGTGTGTGTGTATGTGTATGTGTATGCTGTGTCCTCTGAGATTTACAAAGCTTTGCAGAATTACAAATTTATGTTCCCTTTAAAAAAACGAGTTTCTTTCAGACTGAGATGACTAAAAATTCTGAACCTAAGATTAATGTCACTGTGTTTTCTAAGGAAATAACCAGATACAAATCAGTGCTCATAATGACACGAATCACAGAGTTGTAGTTAGTGTAAAATTGGAACCTACCTAAACAGCAGCCTGCGGGGGCAGTCCCTGACACAGCGGGTTGTTGGGTGCTTTACTTCTGAGCATTTGTGGGGAGGGGGTGGACTTGACTGATTAAATGAAGCAGAGCAATTCATCACTGTCTTAAAGGAAGACGCCGCACAGATGCCCATCAGGGTCAGTCAGGGAGTCCCAGGTGGTGCCTTTGAACTTGCCTCTGGGGCTCTTCTTTGTGGTGAGTGGTCTTTGGAGGAGTCTGGTTTTGGGGGAGACTCTGGTAAATCTGTGGGCCTTGTGAGGCCCGGGTCTGAGAAAAGTGCCCTCCAGCGGGTGGGGCAGCCCCTCCTCCACACTTGGCACACTGTCCGTGAACACGGAAGTTGCAGTGGAGGGTAGGAACCGTGTGACCAGTGGTTCCTGTGTCCGTGCCCCCAGCACTGCCTCCATCAGCACAGGGGTGCTTTACCCTCGCCTGGGAGGACCGTGGTGGTTCTGTCATCAGAGAGTGAAGAGGAAACTCCAACAAAGTGATGGCTGTGAGGACAGGAACATGGGGCAGGACTCAAGGTCTCAAGCTAAGTGGGGGACGCTGACCTGAATGAACCCCTGTGGCGGCAGCCCTGGGAGCCCCAGCCTGCGGGTGTGGCCTGGGTGGGTGTCGCTCAGGTGGAAACCTGGTGGGAGCTCTGAGAGGGGTTTTCCTTTTTAAATGTTTCCCTTCACATTGTGGCACAAGATGATGTGGTTCTGAATCCATTGACGGCGTTGGAGGAGAGTGAGCTGCTTCCTTCTGAAGGCCCGATGGTGGGTGTGGGGAGCTTCTGGCCTGGCTCCGGTCAGAGGTCAACCCTGGTTTGGCACCAGGGCACATGGGTCCCCGTGGAGGCATTTTTATTGTCATGCTTGGAGGGCGTGCTCCTGGCCTCTGTTGGGTAGAGGCCAGCGCTGCTGGGAGTGTCACGGTGAGTGGGATGGCCCCCCGCCGCAGCCGCTGAGCTCCTGGTGTGTTGTTGGTCCGCTCTGCATCAACATCTTTGCCCGTGTGTGATTTGCAAACAAAAATCCCAACTGGTTAGTTTTCTTAGAAATGGTTCCACTTGAATTGTTTACCAAACCCTGGTGAAGACAGGAATGAAAAGCAGAGTCAGTGTCCCCTCGTCTGTATTTGCTTTTCAGATAAAGCCCGTGCCTAACTCAGATCTCTCTCTAACCATGCAGGTTCATCTTTGGAAAGCCAGGCGAAGACCTCTGCTCTCTGTTTGGATTACTTGATTTACGAGACGCTGTCAGCGAGACTTGGAGTTTTCACGGCTGTGACCCTCCCCTCCCTGTTTCTGTACTTGTATGTGTTGGTGGAAGTTTGGAGCTCTTTGGAGCTCTTGTTTACGTGGAAAATTTGAGCCATTTTGAATCCATTAAAGGTGCAGACGCTGCTAGCAATGAGCTCCCAAAGCCATCCAGGTAAGGCTGCCTCCTCCATTCCCTGCACTCAGTCTCCTTTACAGAGGCACGAGGCTGTCACCGTGCCCTGCTGGCTGGGTTTTCCCTGATAATGGCCACTGTTAGTTCACTGCAGCCCCATGTGCAGGTAGATTGGTGGTTCTTCATCTCAGCGAAACAGGGATGATGGGGACTTGGGAGCAGTCTTGGCTTGCTTTGCAGGCTGACTTGGTACCGGAGAGGAGAACTGCTCTTGAGCAAGGTGATTTCTGAAGGTTGGCTTGTGATTTTTAGTTAATTGCTCATTCCAGAGTTTCTTGTTGGGGTGCTTTGGTGGTGGGGATGGTGCTTTTGGTGGCCTTGGGTGGAGTCTAAAGAAGCCTCTTCTGTGCACACACAGGAGCTGCATGTGGAGTGAGTCCATGGCTGGCTACAGGGTGCTTCTGCGCTGTGTCAGGGTGTACGAGGAAGGGTTTATCCAAGGTCACGGAGCTGGGAGTGGTTGAATGCCACTGTCCCTCAGCTCCTAGGCCATGTGGGGGCACAGACACAGGGCTTCACTCCTGAGGACTTTGGGAAGTCACGGTTCCTACACTAGGAACCCTCCCCTTTCCCCCTCAAGGTGTGGGCCTCCTCTGGAGGTACCACTGCCAGCTGCCCACCCTCCAGTTGCCCAGGGCATCATGTGTGACCAGCAGGGCACATAGAGTTAGAACCGTCCACGTCTAGTCAAGAAGTTGGATTGCTGCAAGGACCAGTGCTTGAGGCCCTGAGGCTCTTGTCCAGGCTGCTCCCTGTGGGTTGCACAGAATGTCACCTGCACCTCTTGGGTATGATTGTCCTTTTCTGCTAGCTCTGGAGGGCAGTGCCCAGTCTTTATTTAGATAGGAAAGTTTTATTTGAAGTATTCCTGTATTGATGGGTATGAAGAGTGGATTCTGGTCATGACAGGAAACATTGGAGCTCTGTGCACACTTTGAGGTGTACCCCGTGGGCATTGGTGTGTGGCTCTGCTCTGGCTCCTGGAGGGGCAGCTGTCAAGGTGGGGTGTGCCTCTTTCCTGTGTGAAAATGTGAGTGTTATGTGTATGTGATTTTTAATAGAACTTAATCCTGTATGTGGGGTGCTGTGTGTGTGTTTTTTCCATTTTAATATGACATCTTTGATGTCAGTGTTTATAAATCTAATGTTCTTTTTGATAGTTTGTAAGTGGATATTTATGTGGTCGCAGCACTATTTATAACAACCTCCAGTTGGCATCAACAATTGCTGTACGTGTATTCTGTGCACTTCTGTAAGCGTCTCCATGGGACAGATCCCAAGCAGCAGCTGCTGGGTCAGCGGGCATGTGTGTTGACGATGTCCTCAGGTTTGCTCTGAGATTGCCCCAGAAGCTTGTCTCAGCTCGTCTTCCTGATTACACTTCAGGAGAGCTGTGTTTTCCTTACTTTGTAGCACAGCAGTGCTGGGCAGACTGAGTATTTTATTTTTGTTATGGCTGGGGAAATTATTTTCTTCAACTTCCTGTGTAAATGGGGATGCGCATTTCTGTGTGGCCTGGTATCGATGCAGTCAGGTCTTGTGTATCTGCACCCAGACATCTGAGGACAAGTGTGCCCTTGTTTTCATTGTTGAAGAAGAGCTGTGTATGCACTGATACTGTGTCGAGAGCTCCTGGGGCGGAGTAGAGTGTCTGTGCGGGGCCTCTGCGGCTGTCCACGTGCTGCACAGATCTGGGTAGCCTTCCCTTTTATATATTTTTTAAAATGTCTTTTGATTTCTGGGAAAAGTGAATTTTTCTACTGTGATTATAGTTTTATAATAGTCTCTTTCTGTTATTAACCATTTTTTGCTTTGTATGTTTTGGTGTTTTTTTTTTTTTTTTTTTTGTGCTTAAAAATTAATGGCTGTTGTTCTGATAGACTAGGTCCCTTATCAAAGTCCAGTGTCTTTCTCTTTATTTAGTATTTATTTGCCCAGGAGTTTACTTTGTTTCATGACATATTTCTGTCTGGTTTCTCTGGGCGTCTCTGTGGCCTTGTCTTGACAGTTCCTGGTCTCTTCTCTAAAGCCCATCTCTGTCAGCTGGTCAGCGGGCACTGGTCCTGCTCCTCTGGGGGTCTTCACCCTTGATGTGTGCCCGCTTGCCTGTCCTGTCTGGGTGCTGTGTGTCACTCTCTTTTTTTTTTTTTTTTTTTTTTTTTTTTTTTTAATTTTTTATTGTTGGCTGTTCAAAACATTACATAGTTCTTGATATATCATATTTCACAATTTGATTCAAGTGGGTTATGAGCTCCCATTTTTACCCCATATACAGATTGCAGAATCACGTCAGTTACACATCCATTGATTTACATATTGCCATACTAGTGTCTGTTGTATTCTGCTGTCTTTCCTATCCTCTACTATCCCCCCCCCCCTCCCCTCCCCTCCCCTCCCCTCTTCTCTCTCTGCCCCCTTTACTGACATTCGTTTGTCCCCCTTGTATTATTTTTCCCCTTCCCCTCACTTCCTCTTGTATGTACTTTTGTATACCTCTGAGGATCTCCTTCCATTTCCATGCATTTTCCCTTCTCTCTCCCTTTCCCTCCCACCTCTCATCCCTGTTTAATGTTAATCTTCTTCTCATGCTCTTCGACCCTACTCTGTTCTTAGCTACTCTCCTTATATCAAAGAAGACATTAGACATTTGTTTTTTAGGGATTGGCTAGCTTCACTTAGCATAATCTGCTCTAATGCCATCCATTTCCCTGTAAATTCTATGATTTTGTCATTTTTTAATGCAGAGTAATACTCCATTGTGTATAAATGCCACATTTTTTTTATCCATTCATCCATTGAAGGGCATCTAGGTTGGTTCCACAGTCTAGCTATTGTGAATTGTGCTGCTATGAACATCGATGTAGCAGTGTCCCTGTAGCATGCTCTTTTTAGGTCTTTAGGGAATAGACCGAGAAGGGGAATAGCTGGGTCAAATGGTGGCTCCATTCCCAGCTTTCCAAGAAATCTCCATACTGCTTTCCAAATTGGCTGCACCAATTTGCAGTCCCACCAGCAATGTGCAAGTGTACCCTTTTCCCCACATCCTCGCCAGCACTTGTTGTTGTTTGACTTCATAATGGCTGCCAATCTAACTGGAGTGAGATGGTATCTTAGGGTGGTTTTGATTTGCATTTCTCTGACTGCTAGAGATGGTGAGCATTTTTTCATGTACTTGTTGATTGACTGTATGTCCTCCTCTGAGAAGTGTCTGTTCAGGTCCTTGGCCCATTTGTTGATTGGGTTGTTTGTTCTCTTATTGTCTAATTTTTTGAGCTCTTTGTATACTCTGGATATTAGGGCTCTATCTGAGGTGTGAGGAGTAAAGATTTGTTCCCAGGATGTAGGCTCTCTATTTACCTCTCTTATTGTATCTTTTGCTGAGAAAAAACTTTTTAGTTTGAGTAAGTCCCATTTGTTGATTCTAGTTATTAACTTTTGTGCTATGGGTGTCCTATTGAGGAATTTGGAGCCCGACCCCACCGACTGTAGATCGTAGCCAACTTTCTCTTCTATCAGACGGCGCGTCTCTGATTTGATATCAAGCTCCTTGATCCATTTTGAATTAACTTTTGTGCATGGCGAGAGAAAGGGATTCAGTTTCATTTTGTTGCATATGGATTTCCAGTTTTCCCAGCACCATTTGTTGAAGATGCTATCCTTCCTCCATTGCATGCTTTTAGCCCCTTTATCAAATATAAGGTAGTTGTAGTTTTGTGGATTGGTTTCTGTGTCCTCTATTCTGTACCATTGGTCCACCCGCCTGTTTTGGTACCAGTACCATGCTGTTTTTGTTACTATTGCTCTGTAATATAGTTTGAAGTCTGGTATCGCTATACCGCCTGATTCACACTTCCTGCTTAGCATTGTTTTTGCTATTCTGGGTCTTTTATTTTTCCATATGAATTTCATGATTGCTTTCTCTATTTCTACAAGAAATGCCGTTGGGATTTTGATTGGCATTGCATTAAACCTATAGAGAACTTTTGGTAATATCGCCATTTTGATGATGTTAGTTCTGCCTATCCATGAACAGGGTATATTTTTCCATCTTCTAAGATCTTCTTCTATTTCTCTCTTTAGGGTTCTGTAGTTTTCATTGTATAAGTCTTTCACCTCTTTTGTTAGGTTGATTCCCAAGTATTTTATTTTTTTTGAAGATATTGTGAATGGAGTGGTTGTCCTCATTTCCATTTCAGAGGATTTGTCGCTGATATACAGGAATGCCTTTGATTTATGCGTGTTGATTTTATATCCTGCCACTTTGCTGAATTCATTTATTAGCTCTAATAGTTTCTTTGTAGACCCTTTTGGGTCTGCTAGGTATAGAATCATGTCATCTGCAAATAGTGATAATTTAAGTTCTTCTTTTCCTATTTTGATGCCTTTAATTTCTTTCGTCTGTCTAATTGCTCTGGCCAGTGTTTCGAGAACTATGTTGAACAGAAGTGGTGAGAGAGGGCATCCCTGTCTTGTTCCAGATTTTAGAGGGAATGCCTTCAATTTTTCTCCATTCAGAATGATGCTAGCCTGAGGCTTAGCATAGATTGCTTTTACAATATTGAGGTATGTTCCTGTTATCCCTAGTTTTTCTAGAGTTTTGAACATAAAGGGATGCTGTACTTTGTCGAATGCTTTTTCCGCATCTATCGAGATGATCATATGGTTCTTATTTTTAAGTCTATTGATGTGGTGAATAACATTTATTGATTTCCTTATATTGAACCAGCCTTGCATCCCAGGGATGAATCCTACTTGATCATGGTGCACAATTTTTTTGATGTGCCTTTGTATCCGAGTGGCCAGAATTTTATTGAGGATTTTTGCATCTAGGTTCATTAGAGATATTGGTCTGTAGTTTTCTTTCTTTGAAGTATCTTTGTCTGGTTTAGGTATCAGGGTGATGTTGGCCTCGTAGAATGAATTTGGAAGTTCTCCCTCTTTTTCTATTTCCCGAAGTAGCTTGAAAAGTATTGGTATTA